GGGACGGCAGCGGCGGCGGGGCAGGCGGGATGGGGCAGGCCAGCTGTGGCTTCCCGCCGGGTCCTCAGCCAGGGTCCTGCGTGCACCCGGTGCAGAGAGCAGCTGTGGTGCTGGCTTTGCCCGTGGTGCTCTCAGGGGGATGGGGCCTCTGCTTGCGCTTGAGGGTCTGCTGCAAATGGATGCCCGTGGCACAATGGCCTCACTGGGCTGCCCACAGGCATGGCCAGCCCCTGCTGGGCACTGTCTCAGCCCTGTTCCTTCTCTTTGCAGAGCTCCAAGGTGGTGCAGGGGCTGACCGGCCTGCGAAATCTCGGCAATACGGTGAGTGCTTACCCAGGCACCTGGCTGTGCAGCCCCAGCTCACACTATGCTCTTCTGCAGGCACATCTGTGGGACAGTGGGAAGCCTTGACCCTTCACCTCACCCCCAGCACCCACTTTCTCACCCTGGTGGCTCCCTGTACCCCACTCCCAATGGTGCTGGCAGAGGAAGGGGTTCCTGTGCTCTGCACTGCTTTGTCCCCATCCTCTGCCCACCCGCCTCAGGTGTCCCCCTGCCACTGTCTGCTTCCCTCTGCCTCCCGTTGCCATGGTTTTCTCTTCTGCCTCCCTCAGTGCTTCATGAACTCCATCCTGCAGTGCCTGAGCAACACCAAGGAGCTGCGGGATTACTGCTTGCAGAACCAGTACCTGCGGGACCTCAACAACAACAGCCGCATGCGCACTGCGCTCATGTCAGGTAACTGTCAGTCACTAGGCCCTGGCTCTGCACCCTGTGGGGCTTCCCTGCAGCGCATCCCTGGAGCACGTCCTTGCTCCCCTAGGCCACCCCATGCCCTGGGGGACCCTCACCCAGAGGTCAGTGCTTCTTCTCAGCCTTACTGGGGCAGGCACTGTGCCGTAGGTGCCCAGCCAGTGGGAGGATTGGGTCATCTCTCCAAAGGGTATGGGGCCCACCATGGAGAACCCGGAGTGGGGTGCTGAGCTCTCCCCTGGAGGGCACGGCAGTGCCATGCCAGCAGGGCTGGCTGGGGCCAGATGTGCTGCTGACCTGCCTCTCTGTCTACAGAGTTTGCAAAGCTGATTCAGCTGCTCTGGACCTCATCCCCCAATGACAGTGTGAGCCCCTCCGAGTTCAAGACGCAGATCCAGAGATATGCTCCCCGCTTCGTCGGCTACAAGTAAGGGGTGTTGGTGCGGGGGTGTCGGGGGAGACCTGAGCCCCTGCCACCGCTCACCAGCCATGCCCCGTGTCTTGCAGCCAGCAGGATGCGCAGGAGTTCCTGCGGTTCCTCCTCGACGGGCTGCACAGCGAGGTGAACCGTGTGCTGGTGCGCCCACGGCCCAGCACAGACACCCTGGACCACCTCCCGTAAGTGCTGGCTGGGGCAGAGGCAGTGGATGAGCCCCACAGATGAGCTCACTGCCTGCAAGCCTGGCTCTGGGACAGTGACCACGCGGGTCCCTCTGGGCTGGGTCATGGGACCAGCATCCCCCAGGCCACACTCAGTACCACTTTGTCTCCCCATCTCTTGCAGTGACGATGAGAAGAGCCGCCAGATGTGGAGGAGGTACCAGGAGAGGGAGGACAGCCGCATTGGTGGTGAGCATTGCTGTAGTGAGAGAAGAACAGGCCTGGCCTGCGAGCAGGGCTGGGAACCGGGGGTCTGACTGCTTTGTCCCATCCCCACCAGACCTCTTCGTTGGGCAGCTGAAGAGTTCGCTAACCTGCAGCGAGTGTGGCTACTGCTCCACAGCCTTTGATCCCTTCTGGGACCTGTCCCTGCCCATCCCCAAGGTAAGGGGTCCCCACCGTCCCCCGGCTCCTTGCCCCGCACACTCTGTCCCTGACCTGCACTGTGCTCCCACAGAAAGGCTACGGGGAGGTGACCCTCTTGGATTGCCTACGGCTCTTCACCAAAGAGGACGTGCTGGATGGGGACGAGAAACCGGTATGGGGCGTGGGGCATGGTGAGAGGTGGGCTTGCCTTGGTGCAGGCTGGGCCCCCATCCCTCCATGCTTGTGTTGCCATGACTGTGGGCTCAGTGCGTGGTGTGGCTGGCCTCTGCTTTCACCCTCCTGCTCCCGCTGTGTGTCTCCCACAGACGTGTTGTCGTTGCAAAGCCAGGACAAGATGCACAAAGAAATTCAGCATCCAGAAGTTCCCCAAGATCCTGGTGCTTCGTATCCTTCAGACAGAGGGATGGGGTCAGGGGGTGCTGGGGGTGGGGGCAGGCAGTTCTTCACAGGTTCCCCTTTGTCGCTTGGCTCCTTGACATGGCCCCCCAAGACCTGAAGCGCTTCTCAGAGGCCAGGATACGAACGAGCAAGCTCACCACCTTCGTCAACTTCCAGCTGAAGGACCTGGACCTCCGGGAGTTTGCCTCGCAGAGCTGCAGTGAGTGCCAAGCCCTGTACAGCTCCAGCCCAGCCCTGGGCTCCTGGCAGGTCTCCACTGGGTCCCTCATGCCCCCCAAGAGTGCTGCAGCCTGCGGTGGGGGGCAGAGGCATGGGGGGGTGGGAGCCTCACACATCCAGGGTGCTGGTCCCAGCTCCTTGCTGGCATGCTGGGTGGCAGCAGGGCAGGGCTGGCATGGCTGAGCGCTGCCCTTGCTCTCTGCAGACCACGCCATTTACAACCTCTACGCCGTCTCCAACCACTCGGGCACCACCATGGGGGGACACTACACCGCCTACTGCAAGAGCCCCGTCTCCAGTGAGTGGCACAGTTTCAACGACTCCCGGTGAGGCTGAGCATGGGACGGGGCTCGCTGCGGGGTCAGGGCAAGCAGGGAACCCCTGCCAGGGCAGCCCAGTGCCTCGTCCCCATTGCTCACAGCACATCTCCCCATCTCCACAGTGTTACCCCGATGTCATCCAGCCACATCCGCAGCAGCGATGCCTACCTACTCTTCTACGAGCTGGCCAGCCCATCCTCCCGCATGTAGCCAGACCTGCCTCCCTGGGGACCCCTGTGGCCCCCTGCAGAGCCAGCTCCTCCAGCTTTCAGTCGGTTGCTCCCCAGGTGCAAGAGGGAGGTGAAGAGGAGAGACCCCGAGGTGGCTGCAGCGGGAGGCTGGAGGCAGCCAGGAGCAGACCCCAGGCAAGGACAGCCCAGCTCCGAACTGAGGAGGGCAGCCCACGGCAGGGCAGGGCCCAGGCAGCTCAGGCGCCTCCTGGTTGCTGGCATTTGTTTTTTGCCTTGGGGTACGTTTTAGGTTTGGGTTTTTTTTTTTTCTTTTGGTGTGTAATAAAAATACTGAGCAAGGGACTCTCCAGGCATGGGGCCGCCTGCCCCATTGACTCGGCCAGCACATCTGCTACACTGGGAGAGCACCCAGACCTGGGGACCCAGAATAGCCTTCCACATCCCTCCTGGCCTCTTGGCACTCCTGTTCTGCTTGGCCGTCCCAGAGGATTAATGAACTGCTCCCAACCTCTTCCCGACACTTCTGAACCTCCTGGCAAAGGACGCTGGCCCTTTGGTTGCCTCCGTCCCATCTCAGGCAGCACGTCCCCACCAGCTGCCCCATGCACACTCCTCAAAGCAGCCTGAGTGCAGGCCGAGACTCGTGGACAGGAAGAAGGAAAAGATTTTGTGGAATTTATATGTATTTATAGTGGACTTTGCTTAACCTGGAGCACTCCGCTGCTTCCTGGCTCTCCAGGGACTTGTGCTGGGGGATGCTTCAGGTAGGTTTCTACCCGCCTCCTCATACAACGGTGCCTTAAACCATTTAGGGGAGCAGAAGGCCATTGGGGTTGCACAGGAACGTCCATCCTGCAGAGGAGAAGGAGGGGAGGACAGTGGCTTTCCAGGACCATCTACAATTGGGGCTTTCT